TGACATTTCCTCAGCATCACCTGCATCACTTCCAACAGCCACTTCATGTTGATCATCTCTTACCTTAGCTTTCTTACGTTTCTTCATTGATCTCTTGGGTGACTTAACATTGGATCGTCCAACGGAGTCGGAAAGATCTTCAAGTTCATCCCCACTTTCTCCATCAATGACCAAAAGACCTTCACCTTCCGATGTTGAGCATCCATCATCAAGAACTGCCATGATCTTCTCCACACAAGATGATTTCAACTTGATCTTTTCTTGATCGACGCTCACATAGGGAATATAGTCTTTAACAGTCATTTCGATGATGTTGCCATTTGGATCCAACATGAATGGAGTTCTTCCGGTCGGCCATACAAAAGAGTAACCAAGATCAACGCATCGCTTTCCCATGGAGAGCACGGAGGGTGTGTCCTCCAAGATGTGAGCTTCTGCTGGTTCGCTAAATGCCTCGAACTTGATGCTTGAACGTTTGGTCGAACACGTTACCCCATTTGCTGTATGGAAGTTGACGACCTTGTCATCGTATGTTGGGAGATCCATTCTACTTATTCCGCGTGGATGAAATGAGATCATGGCCACTTCCAGAATCCAATATGAATCTCTTATCTCTCTCTTCAACAGGAACAGTGATACACATTGTGTTGCCCCTTTTACCATATCGACCTTCAATATGCTGAACATAGTTTTCCACAAAGACTTCCCTGGACACCTCACCGTCCTCGACGTCGAGTCTGATCAGGATGTCCATGCTAGGGCCGACTATGACCAGGACTTCATCAATGTCACTGTACTCACCCTTCTCATCGATCAGAATAGCCATTGCTTTCCCTCGGCTCGAAGCCAACCTGCATGAATAAGACCATTGCTCATCTTTCCTTATCTGATCAGTGGGCTTACCAACTTTGCCATGACCTTTGGAGACAGTCTGAGATTTCCGATTGCACTTCACGAAGTCCTTCTTTACGTAAGTCTGAACGTGAGTCTTAGACTCATCAAATCTGACCTTCTTCTTGACCACGTTCGATGCAATCTTATGGAATGTCTCTTCGTCATCGCTCCAATCATGGGCAAGTGCAGGAGTAGCCTTTGAGCTTGGTGCTTCAGTGTTGGGAGCGGTGTTAAATAGATGAGGATCGTGGCGTTTGTTGCATTTGTCTCCATACCGACACTTGCCCTTAGCCCAATGCCAGCATGGTTCATCAATCTTCTTGGTCTTGTTTGCCGGAGATTGACTTCTTGGAGTTCCTGGCTTCCGACCATTCCCTTTTGCGTTCTTATTCGCCTCGAACACCTTTTGGTCGTGACTGTATTCACAATCTTTGCCTTTTCTGCATGATTTCTTGATGAAATGGAAATGGCATGGGATCTTCTTCTTGGATCTGGGGCTGGTGCTTCGGCTGTTTGCTCGATCCTTCCCTTTCCCTTTTCCTTTTCCTTTTGCATGCTGTTTAGGCTGAGGCGATGGTAGAACTGGAGCTGCATCGGCCTTGGCCTTCGCCTTGGGCGCTGCCTTCTCCTTGGGAGTAGCTTTAGGCTTCGCTTTTGGATTTGCATCCGGTGCAGCGGCAGTTGGGTTCGGAGCAGGAGCTGAAGGTTTGCCGCCACCTGCAAAGTCTCTCGCATACTTCTCTCTGGCGGCCACATGCTTGTCCTCTCTGATTCTGGAGATGTGTCTTTCGATGACGTCCAGCAGGTAGCGATAATTTCGTCTTTGGTCTCCTTCCATCCATGACTCGTACTGCTTGATGTCGAACATCATAAGACTCGAATTTCGAATCTTCTTGTATAGAGCGTCACGAAGCCAATCATCAGGAGGTACGTCATCCGGCATCATGTTTGATACCATCTCCATCCATTTCTCGTAGAACACTTCTAGGTTCGAGTCACCGAGATACTTCATCGATACGATGTGTTCCATGGTGAAGGATGTTTCTCGTTGACCTGGGGTTCTGAAGTGCTCCAGAATCATAGCCAAGATTTCCCGTCCCATGACATAGGTTCCTCTTCGGCTATGACTTTGTGTTCTCAATCTCAATTTGATCGCTACATGACGAGCAACATCACCGGCTTGGGCTATCACGTTTGACAATGCAATCGACAACTTGGCGTCGATGGACTGATACCGTTGCCCCCCACTGTCATTCAATAGCTCGATGTCAGGATTTGGTCGAATAGCCGGCTGTAGCCATGCTTCCCATGCGGCCTTGTCTCCGTCATTTGCCGAAAGAACAACACTCTTGATGAGATCTGATTGCCAAACCCCAAGATTCTGCTGCTTTGGCCATGGGCTAACATAGACTTTGTCAGCCTCTCGTCTTGACATTCTCGGTACTTCTTCTGCAGTGTAAGCCGCTGTGGAGACATCATCTGCTGAATCGCGTTGTGATCCTCGAACTGAAGGCAAACCTGGTGGTTCAGGAGGTGGTCCTGGTCCGTTAGGCCCGAAAGGGTCCGGAGGTCCATCAGGGTCAGGCGGACCGCCCCACCCACTCGGTGGCTTGTAATAGTCCCTCTCAGTTCCGCCAGCGATCTTGTTGTCAACCTCTTTCAGCAGATCAGCGATTCTTTTGTTTGATTGAGAATGTTGTTGTTGTTGAGGAGGCACAGCATGCCCACGATAGGAATGGGCCACATTTGTCTCATAAGTCAACTCCTTGTCGATCTGCGAAACCCAAGATTTCAGAATGGCGTTTTCACAGTTAGCCTCACTCACGTCATTCTCCAGTTTGTCGATGACCAGTCTGGATGCGAGGTCGGAGTTGGGAATGCCTGCCGAATAGGGAAGTGTGTCAGGACTGATCCTAGCCATAGATGTTTCAGAATCCTTGAGACTTTTTCTCAGTTCATCTAAGTGACGTTTCATGTCAACGATCTCAGAATTCTTGATGCCAATCTTCTCATCCCTATCCTGGATTTCCCCCATGAACATGCATGATCTCTCATATTGTTGAACACCACTAGCCAATTTCAATTTTCGTTCACTCTCTAGTTCGGATCTTAGAGTTCGGACCTCAGCATTGGTGAGGGACGAAGCCCCTACATCCGCAACTTCAGCCAATCTTTCTTTCAATAACATGTTTTCTTGTAAACATTCATGAACTTCATGATCTAGATCCTGAACCCTAATTTGAGCAATTTTGGCTTGATTACGTAGATCTTCAACAAGCATCTCATCGGGGCCACGACCGTCGGTCGTAGAACCCTGAGTCAACGATCTCCGCAACTTCGTGTTCTGCAACTTGATCTCATCCTTTAACTCGCAGTTCATTTCCTGCTCATTGGTGTAGAGCTCTTCATAATGCTCGGCCCTCGCGATCGAATTCAAGCTGGCCTGTGATTCAAGCCTCAGGTGTGATATCGCTTCGGCCTCTTGGTTCCTGTATGATGCAATTCTTTTGACGGTATCATGTTCGGTGTTTCGATGCTTCAGATCACTTTCTAATTTGGCCTGATTTGCCTCGAAAACCTTCTTTCTAGATTCTCTAGTGATCTCGTCAATACTGCTTTCATACAGCTCGGCTTGTTTACGAGACTGAACCAAAGCTTCACTCAATAGTTGATTCCGTTCAGATAGTTCATGAACTGCAATCGACTGTTGTTGGCTAACCATTTCAAGTTGATTGCTAGAGAAGGATGCCATTTCGGATCGATTACGATATTCCATGATTGAGTTCTGGAAATCATTTTGCATTTCTTGACCTTCATTGTAGAGTCGATTGGCAATATCGGTGGTTAAGACATTGGTTTGATGAAGTTGTTGTAGTCTTGCCTCCGTATTACCCAGTAGTCCTTGAAGGTGATGTACTTCATCCTTGTACTCCTCCTGGATCTCCATACCACGTTGGTGGATCCGTCGTGCACCATGTTCCATTAGGGCACCTCGGCGCTCAAGGTCTTGGATGCGTATTGTTGCACCTTCATCTTCCTGAGATCCTACCATTAATTCTGCTTGATATTCTGCAACCTCATTCGCGGAACGTGACAATCTATGATTGAGTGCACTGACTTCCTCAAACACATTCTGGTTGTGTTCCTGAAGATATTCTGTGAATCTAATCTCGATGTCATGAATCAGTTGATCTCTAGATGCAGCGTATGCTTCCATGTTGTTCAGCTGATTACGTAGGGATTGACATTGTGCCCGTAGTTCTTCTATCATGGCAATAGGTTCACTAGCCACAGAAGTATCCGTTGATCTCCTCTTAACACGACTATCCCCGGTCCTCTCACCAACTCGGTCGGTCACGGCCCTGGTGGATCTGTCCCTAGGAGTAGTTCGTCCTCGAGATGGTCGATGCCCTTGGCGGACAACATCACTCCGAGGACTGTTTCGCGAAGATCTTGGTGTACTTTGGGTGGATATCCTTCGTCTGTTTGTCGTTACTTGCCATCCGGACTGTGTAGTTCGGGTAGAGCGTATCCCACCACTGTCTGCCGTGTCACCAGGGGAAGACTGATTGACCTCCTCGACCGGCATGGCAGTGTTCTCGTTGAAGGTAAACTGCGTGGTGCGCGAATCTCCGCTGCCGCCTTGCATCTTTGCGATGATGAGCTGATTGGTCCTTTGCGTCCTCAATCAATTGCTCAGAAGGCCCGGCTACCAGCACGCAGGTACCACTCTCCCGGAGGGAGAAGTGAGCCCTACGGCTGATAACCTGTGAACAAAACGAATCCTTGTTCTGGATATGTGGTTATTGAGCTGTGATACCCGTAGTGCTGGTAGTTCCGGACAGCGTTACGGCATTGCATGCAGAGCTCGGACTTTTTTCCTCACGCAGGGACTTGAGCCAATACGGCGTTCCAAATGCACAATCACGTGTGTACATGATAAGTGCCCTAGCGTTTAGTTCCCTTTGACATATATATATATATATATGTATAATTATATTATTCATATATAGATTATATGTGTCATGAAGCAGGATCATTTCCAACTTTGCAATTCGACTCATGGGACCAGTCAAATTCTGCGGTCGCTGTTCATAGCGGCAGTCCCGAGGAAGCTTCGCTGAAAGGCCGAAGTCAATCAACTTGATGTCCTCAGCTGAACCCGTGGTCCGTTTGGAGCAGGGGAACCACGATGTCTGCCGATTGATTTCTGGGGTGGGTGGCCCACTGATCCTCGATGATCCGGGTCAGTACAAAACCAACAGAAACATGTTAAGACAGCAGTGCCTCCTGGTTGTGAAATCTCTATAAACCATAATCTCTATAAATATAACTATATATATATATATATTTGTTGGTGATTTCAACCCTTCTGAAAAATATGAAAATCAATGGGAAGGATTATCCCATTAAATGTTCCAAACCTACCCGGAACTGAGGAGGCGACGGCGTTCTGTAGAGCCTTGGAAAGCTGCCATTTCCAGGTCCGACGCGGTCGAAGCGGTGCACCAAAATTAACCAAACATCATGATACATGGGTCATTAAATGTCCCCATTGAACATCACCCAACCATTAGGTATATGGTCTATAATGGCTACTATAAGGTGATGTCCAATATACCCAAAATGGGACAGTTACCAACCCCTGTGATACTAAGAGGCTTCATCTGAAAATACCGCATGAAACCCCCAACTTTGATGATTTCATCAGCCACCTACTGGTGCTATGAATTGAGGAGAAAAAACACTCCAATTGATTCCAGCTCAAGATGTCGCTGCCAAGGTGGTTGCTAACTCTCCACTGGATCTACTGGGTCGATGGACCCTACCCGGAAGTATCGGGGGCTCAGTGAGAAGGATATTTTGTGCCTGGCGCCGAGGTAGGCGGAGCATGGCGGAGCTGTGGTTGAGGGATGTCCAATCTAGGAAAGTGCTAGGAAAGTGCAACCCCAGAGAGATTCCTATCATTAGCTTCTTTCGCGCCAATTCGATACAACAGAGCTGTCAACGATGTCCAGACTGTCATTCCTCACCAGACCAAAACTCTGTCCAGCATCGTAAACCAGTGCCCGGCAACCCAACCTTAATGTCTCGGTGCACAATGTTGCAGCCATGGATATAATCCAGGGCCTGACATGTGTAATTCTCTCTCCACACTTGCTCGTGAAATCCCAATGTTTTTGTCAAAGATTGGTTTGTCCAAAAATTATGGGAAAACCGCATATTACATACGTTACTGTTTTGGAACAATGATTGCCCACATCAAGATGGCTTCACGCTAACCACAAAACTACCGTGTAAGAAGGAAAATGACAATCCATGACCTGCGAGCTACCTTCATCATCGTTTATCGTCGTAGCTAAAGGGAATACACCAAAACTACCATCCAATTTCGAGGTCCTGTAAACTAACCGAGATATTGAAACTCACCTTGAATCTTTTTAATAGGGAAATCATCCATAAATGGGCCATGTTCATCCATCTTTACGTATGTTAATTCCCCCAGGGTAGCCTATCAAACAGCACCCCCGCCGGTCCCCGGATCCTTCATGAGCTGCAGCCCGACTCTGGCCACATCCTGTCTTTTCATGTGGGATTCAACACAAACCCTTAACATCCCTTAACTATTTCCTCATGACCTTCCAGAAATGGGCTGGATTTTCATCATTCCTAGTTTGAGGTTTATTCTGAAGTTCACCGCCTTACATCTTTGAAATTGGTGGAATCAAGTTCAAACTGAGTCTCACGACTTCTCGCATGTGCTTTGCATACTAAAAATAAAAAACCAATCACATACAATCACCAATGAGTGATTGCGGATGAGTCAAGCAAAGTTCATGGCCAAACCGCACCTTTGTGTACACAGATTCCCCGCAGTTGTGGTATGTCGTGGTGAACCCACCGGTTTACCCAGTTTACCCTCCCCAAATCTCCCCAACGACCAACCAGATGCTTGGGATTTCAATCATCCCCAAATGGTAGTTGTTTGTGCTGGAGACGTTGAAAAAACGACCCGGGCAAAAAAAAGGTGAACGTTTCAGAAAGAACTATTGCAGTTTTTTTTTTTAAAAATAGCAGTCATGCACGTTTCACAAGCCCCCCAATGACGTTCTTGTTGGAACTCTATCTATAGTTTTATTTTCTTCAGCCAGGCACGGTATCATGAACATGACCCAACTTGACGTCAACATCATCCAGGTTGTCATGAAAATCACACAATGTGTTTTCAATCTCAAAGAATGTGTTGTGAATATCAGTATCAATATCAATCTCACACAAAGGCCTACAGTCAATGACACCGAAGGCCGAAATGAAGCCCCAAAAAACTGGGGAGGCCGGGGCATGAGCCACGCCTGTTCAATGATGACAGCCAGCTCAGACTTCAAAGCCTGGTTTTCTGTCGGCAATCCGAAAAAGCCCCCACTGAGGATCTTTGTCTTCCAAACAAGGCACTGCTACACTGCTACATCGCGTTTTCGATGTGTAGATCTGTATATCATATTCAACACATTGTAGATATTTATAGATATAGTACGATAGCGTGAGGCCGATTTGTCGTCATAAAGCAACAAAGGATGGCCGAACATGCTGATGAGTCTAAAATCAATATTGCATTACACATTATCACATTATAAACATTCAAAGAGATATATATATATAATGTATACAATATAATGTATACACACGTGAAAAACGGACAGCAGATCACCACGCCTCAAAAAGTTCACCCCCCTTCACTCGCTCCATCACCACATAGAGAAACCGCTTGTCCTGGCGGGGCATGTCATGTACTGGGACTAGTCCTGGTGGTGTGTCGGTATATGGAAAAATGCGCTGAAATGCTGCGAAAAACCAGGGCATATGCTGAGTTACCCTATTTTCAGTTCGACACAAAGCCAAGGAATATGCTGGTTCGCACAAGGCAATCCTTCCGGAGGCAAAACAACAAGTTCACAGAAGAAAATAGTTGCCAAACTGATATGACATTGAACTGAAAAGTTCCCAACGGGAAGTACAGAGACTCGCGCTTTTGCTACCAAATCAACACAGAAGCCGCACCCATTCTCTCATCTACGGTTAAACGGGAAGCAGGGACTCAGCACTGTTGCATTTATTGCTGAGTGCAAAATTGAATACATATGCCCTCTGGCCCTCTGGTAGTTTAAGATAGGTATGGAAAAAAAGGACCATTTATAGATGGTTGCCTTATAAAAAGTGGTGATTTGCCTTGTTAAGTGGTGATTTTCCATATTAAGTGGTGATTTTCCATAGTTATGGTAAATCCACACAACGTAGCGCTCACTTTTCGGCTCGTCTGGTTCTGCAGTGTGCAAACAGCTGCCCCGCAAAAAGCGGCCGGCGAACCAGCGACACAGACCTGAGTCCGCAAGGCCCAATGGTTGAAACAGTCTTTTAGCATCAAGAGAAATTTGACATCTATAGGATGCATATACTGTATATATATAATCTAGAGAATATAATGACGTCTATATATTCCTGAGAATCTTTGAGTATTATATAACATTATATAACCATTTATGCATCAATGCACATCAATGGCTATATACAATATGCCATCATATAACAGCATTGTTTCTTGGGGTACTTGGCCCTAACCACACTGGATCGAAGCCGCGGCTTTTGTTGGAACCAATTTTCGGTCAGCGATTCAGATGAATCCAGGAGCATTTGCTCAGAGTCCAGGCTGTTTTTCTCTAGCCGATTTACTCCTGAAATCTGAGGACACACCAGCTCCCAATGGCTTGGTGAGCAGAAACTAGCCCAGTGCATGGAAAACTCTGCAGCACAGGATTGACATCGATCATCTGGACCAAGTTCAAAACAGTTCTCTGATCCGATTTGTCCAGCTCTTTGGAGTGTATTTTTTCGACATCTTCATCACCAAATCTGCACATATCTGCACCATCTTCACAAAAATACAAGCCAACTTTTTGTTGACCTGTAGATACCTGTAGTTCCTCATGTTTCTCTTAAAACATCTTAACTACAGCCATTGATCGGCCATCGCCTCTGTGGCCCAGTTTCCAGCCCTGCCAGCCATGATTATGTGCCCATTACGGACCCACGATCCGCTCAGTCAGCTCGTCCCGCGGATGAATGCGGAAACGAAACCAATACTCCTGGCACAAGGGGACCATGCTGGGGGATGCCAACCTCAATCTATGGCACCTCAGTCTATGAGTTGTTTTTTTTCAAAACACGGGGTTGTCTGAAAACGGGTTTTACCCGTTTTATCCGCAGGTTCATTATCAAACTTGGGGTCGGGCCCTCGCAATTTTCAAGCATAATACCTGCATGACTCAACCTCCACTCGGCACCAAATGCACCAATCCAGATCATTGGCTGATGGAAATCCCCTGCAAAAACATGAGCTGGCCACGGTTTTTTTGTAGTGCCTCAGCACATAAAGAATAACGGTTAGATTGGTTTGTGATGGTCTGCAATTCTTAATGGAACAAGTCTGTCTACGGGTCAATTTGACCCTGCACCCTTGGTGAACCCTTGGTGAACCCCCTTGGATCATGCCCGGTATCATAGGCGATCCATCATGAGCTGAATTTTATCCCTCTGGAAAATGCAAAAAAACGTGGTCCAATGTGGTCAAGTAATGGGATCACACATGATATATGTATATAGTATATAGTATATATACATATCTATATATATATATATACATATACATAAATATATAAATACTACCCGACCGCCCCAAGATCGGTGAGTCAAAGGGTATGGCATTCCAAAAACAACGCTTTCCCTTTCAATAGGTAGCATTCTGTCAAACAAAGCAACCTGTTAATCTTAAGGAGGTAGTATTTGTTGGAAATCCTTTGTAAAAACAAAGTAAGTATACACTATTACTTTCAAAAAGGATGGGCACATACTCAGATCAGAATGCGCAGCATTTCGAGGAAGCAATATGTTCTAAATGATCATCTAAATGTATCTAATGTTCCTTGCAACATACAAGGCAGTTTTCAAACAGATTCAGAATGCCTTGAAATGACATGCTATGCCCTTCAAACATGTCTCATTGCTTTAAACATACTAAAGAAAATGCATTGTCTGGAAGTAATTCTAATTGACAAGAGCGATCTTTTCAAGGTGGCAATCCTTTTCAAACAAGTGACAATCCTTTCAATACAGTCACGTTTTTTTTCATAAGAGGCGCTGTTTATTTCAAAGAAGTAGCAATTGTGGAAAACATGTGTTTCTTTAAACAACCACTTTTCATATTAAGCATGCCCTATTCCTATCACTCGAAACACTTGAGTGCACACTGACTTCAGAAAGCAGAATCTAGCAGTAGTTGTGCTACATGGGCAATGTTTTCTTTTAAAATAGCACCATATGTTATTAAAACATAATACATAGGAACATGAATTATCATGTTCAAACATGCAACATGATTGTAAAGGGTGGAGTTTTTATCTTAGCAAGAGACATACTGGGGTTTATGGATATTGGGGCAGCTATTTATGTTTTGAAAATGAACCACTAAATGGTTTTAGCACCAACCTCAAGTTTCAAGATTAGAACGCGTATTGAATCGAGGGATTTGGATTCAAAATTCAGGCATTTTACCAAAAGCTTCAGAAAAATGTGTCAGACCACTAGATTGTTTCCATAGTTTTTGACAGTTGTGAGCCACATTGGCAAGATTTTTCAGCCTGTTTGGTGCAAGGCGCCAAAACTCGAGCACAACCAAAAACTCAAAAAACAACAAACCCTTTGGGAGAATATTTGGTTTGGACTCAAAAGATGTGTTCTTTTGTGTGTTCCTTGAGTCTTTTGTTTGTTTGGGTTTTGCAACCTGAAAAAATAAAGAACCTCATTGAGTGTGTTTTGCTTTTTTGAATAGATATTATCAGTTATCAATCAATCTCTCAAAAAGCAAAAAGAACACAATGTGTTTGTTGTTTCCCCATTTTAGGTTTGCTTTTTTGACTTAAAGAGTCTCAAAAACCAGGAAAAAACACATTGAGTTTTTTGTTTTTCAGATATTGGCTGACAGTATTCATGCAAGAAAGCTCAAGGTTGTTTTGCTTTTTTCATTTCAAAACCAAAGCGAGGCGAAACACAACAACTGCAAAAAAGAACAAACAAAGACATCTTTTGAGTCCAAACCAAACATTCTCCGAACAGTTCTGTTTTGTTTTTTCATTTTGCTCGAATTGTTCAATTTAATAGTGATCTGTCGTAGGAGGTGGTTCACAAATAGGACAAGTTAAGAATCAAATAGTTCGATATGTATATTGTATGGTACCCCTCCTCTTTCAATGAACATCTGTTCCAATCATGAGAATTAATTACACCTCAACCACTGATAAGCTTTGACAAGCTCAACCACTGATCTTTAATAAGCTCAACCAGTGATCTTTAACAAGCTCAACCACTGATCTTGGCGGGTGGGGTGCCATATATATACATATATATATATATGTATGTATGTATGTATATGTATATGTATATATGTTTACATATATATATATATATGCATATATATATATGTATATATATATATATATATGTATATATATATATACACATGTATGTATTGTATATATAGTAGGTCTATTGCTGCCTGCCCCAGACCCGGCCTCCCAAACTTTCAAGTTCACCTGGCCATGTAGTGAAACACTGATCTCTGATTTTTCGTTGCAGTCACGGAATCTTGTTCAAAAGGAATGGTATCATTATATCATGAATGTCATGAAGAAGAATCAACGACCGACACATACCACAACTAAGCAACACATTCCAAAACCAATCGAAACCACATGAAAGCACCCCTCAACATGCCATCGCATACAGCAAACCAATTTTAGTGAATGATAAAATCCTGGTGCCTGACTAGGGCTCGGTCTCAACGTCTCGGTGGTAGCCACGTACCTGGTACATTGAGCCAATAGACAACAAGAGCACCAGTTGGATGAGACAAACGTGTCGGCCGTGTCGGCAGCGCCTGGAATTCAGGAATTCAGCTGAAGGTCCTGCAAAAATCGAAACCATGGAAGTGGACCATCGGACCACCAAAACATATTTGGAGGTTTCCTGAGTCATGGGGTTACCCCATTTCATCATCCATGAAAATAGATGGGTTTTACCATGTTTTACCTGAAATAAACCATCCAGCGATAAAGGGGTACCCCCATTTTTCTGAAACCATGGAACAACGAACAACTCAGTCCTGCGAGGAGAGTCGACCAAAATGAAAGAGTCTCAGGTCTCACCTGCTGAGGGAAGAAACCTTGTCGATCACTGGGGTCACTGGGGCTATGTCACATTTATTATACCCGGCCTGGTAAACGTTTACATAGCTATGGAAAATAACCATAAATTTAATGGGTAAATCCACTATTTCTATGGCCATTTTCAATAGCTATGTTGGTTTACCAGAGGGTATCTATGGGAGTACCTATCTTTGCGGAAGTGAAGTACCTGTTTCACATGTGTGCAAATTAAGAATTCCTCCTTTTTAGAAACAAGACGTGTCTGTGAAAAAGTATGGAAAAGTCCTATCAAGTCCTACTCTTCTTGCCCACTCCACTGTACAGATTTTGTGCTACCTTATTAAGATCACCTGCAACTACTTGTATCACCAGCAAAAATTGGAATGGGCAACGTGTGTCCACTAAAAAGACCCTCCCAACATTTTCCCATATATTGCCATCCGAATAGATTCCCATGCTTTCCCAACTAAATCAATGTTTGCTTGCATCTTTGCCGATCAGGCCAGCCTTGCTCCGCTCCTGTTCGCAGTCTCCCAGAAAAGTTCCCCAGCGATTCCTCAACTTGGAGAATTCCCGCCGCAAAGAAAACTTAAATAGTTGAAGCCATATTGATGCATAGCTATATAAATATCCATGCTCTTTCTCTCTATAACAATATTATATATATATACATTAAAACATATCATGTATACATCTATCTTCATATATATCTATAATATATATATATATATTATTAAAGATTATTATTACTTATATCATTATATATATTATTATTGTTACAATTATTATTATTGTTATCATTATTATTATCATCGATTATAATTACTAATATTATTATTATATATTATATATTGCTATTATTATATTATATATTGCTATCATTATTGTATACCTGCATTATTATAATTATTATAATTATTATAATTATTATAATTATTAAAAATATTATAATTATTAAAAATATTATTATGATATTATCATTATTACTATTGTTATTGCTACCATACATATATATATATGATTAATTATTACAATAATAATTATATAATATTATATATATAATGTATTATATTATTATTGATAATAATTATTATTCATATACGTATATTCGCGTATATATATATATACACCATATACATCTACATAGTCTATCTACAAAACAGATCAAACCCTATGTCATATGTGTACTGTCCACAGCCAGGTCCCAGCTTCGTTAATACCTCACGGCCCAAATGTAGCAGCAGGCTGGAGGTGAACTCAAAGGCTGTCGGGAATTGCTGCGTCATCTGATGAACCTCTTGTGATGCTGGGAACCCGTCCGGGGATTCCTCAAAAGGGTGGATGTTTCACAAAAAACACATTTTTGATGGTGAAATAAGCCACGTTTCATGGTGAAATAACATGGTGAAATAAGGGGAAAGGAGCCATAAATATGGTGATCATCATTTTGCCAACTGCTTCACCAAGCTGAGCTGGTGGGTTTCAATGTAGTTTCACTTGGAGCAGATCACTTGACAGAAATAACTTTTTCGCGGTCCCCTGGCTGCAGTGCGAATTATGTGTGCTATTCCACGAAGATACTGGCCGACAAGCCGAGCGCCCCAGGGTCGATGAGATACATGATACATTGGCATACATTGGCCATGCCAAGTTGCACACTCCAACCATTGCAGAAAAATGGGACTGTACCTAAGTGCACGAAGTATAGCACCCCCCCACTGCAAAGTTGAACACCTGGATTTTTTTGTGGGGAAACAAATTTAAAAAATTCATCTCACCAACTGCAGTTATGGCCATTTATCAGTTGTAAGTACTTGTAACCCCATTTATAGAATGTATAATCCCATTTATAACCAGTTATAACTGGTAAATGGCCATAACTGTGGACATATCTGGAAATACTGTGCATTACTGTTCTATCTTTTTTGGGCTAAAAAATGCGACAAACCTTGACGAATCCAGTGGGCCCAGACTGTAGGGTCATGGTCCAAAAAGCGTGATCCTATGTGATCCTTCAGATTACCCATCACCAATATACGCTTGCAAAACGCCAACACCAGTCAGGGACATAATTGACTAGGCATTCTATAATACACACACACACAATCTTCCAAACATTCCTTAAATAAATCACATGTCATCAACATGTATTGTATAGTTCGCGTATCGCGTAAGGGCTACCAAAAAATCCAAGGGATGGCCAGCGCGATGCTGCGATAGCACTGCTGCCATGTCACTCGCTGGTGGGCTTCTCACCATTTGCGAGTCGTGTGCGAAACCGATGGCCAAAAGAACAGAACTCCTGCCACGCCCGGCTCTTTCTTCATCTTTTTTCTGCCAACCATCTCCAATCTGATGGGTTGATGAACATTCAAACATCAAACATATCCTGGTTGGTGGTTTCAACCCCTCTGAAAAATATTAGTCAGCTGGGATAAGTATTCCCAATATATGGAAAAATAGCACATGTTCCAAACCACCAACCAGTATCCATAAACATCATCAAACGTTCTCGCAGCGACGGGGCGTCCTTCTGGATCAAGAGCAGCAAGCCGCGCAAGGTGCGGTAGTGTGGATCCATACAAAGCATTGCCACCTTGAAGGAACTGACAATAGGGGCATGGCGCAGAATTTTGATCATATATGCCATATGGCGCAACAAGATGCAACAAGTTGTTGCATAGGAAAACAAAATACGGTAGTTTTGATCAAAAAAAATGTCGGCTCTTTAGGGGTACTCCATGTTTGAGCCAAACCCCAGTTGGGTACCTGTCCAACCAAGGTTGGCTGGGGCTCCTGGGGCTCCTGGCTGAGCTGACTTGTGCAGTGCGGTCCCAACCATCGGAACAGTGGATGAGCACGTTGCATTTCAGGACGTCCTGGGGCACCAGTTTCACGACAACCAAGCGAAGCAAGTCACAAGCATGGCACCGCTGGTCGCGTCACAAGCATGGCACTGCTGCTGTCAGGTCACAATCTCATGGATGACCATGTTTGCACATTGAAAAATGGCACCCATGATGTCGTACCTGAGACGTTGCGAAAATCGGTTCCGGTGGAGCGGCCCCATGTGCCATGGGGAATAGGAAGCTGCAGCCAACAGCAACCAAAGGAATCGAAGAAAATTTGCACTAAGCATCACTTAGCCAGTAAAACACATTGACGTACTTGCATCCCCAACATGCACACATCACAACAATGTTCTGAACTCTGCCAAGTTACCAGCCAGAGTTGGCAACATCTTTGAACCAGGATCCTACCTGCGATGATACTCGGAATCAGAATTTAGTTGAAGGGTCACCGAACGTCTTCGGTGAACTCTTCAAGAGCATGCCCAAACATATTTATACATATTTATAGTTGTGGGATGTTGTGGGGGCAACCATCTGATTAAGAGATAAGCTAGATTCTCATCGCAATTTATATATTCGTTTGCAATTACTTGACTCAGCATCCAGAGTCGGGACCAGCTTGGCAATGGCTTCCAACACTTCAGCATAGATCTTCAACATTCTGACAGTGGAAGCCATGGTGATGAGAACCAGCAAATTATGAAGCAATAGCTGAAGCAATAGCCATTGTGAAGCAAGAACAAATCTGGCCATGATAATCATGATAACCGCATCATTTATCATAAATGCCAACCAGCCGTTGTTTGAAGATGTTTGAAGAACATGGATTTAATGACACATAGTATTGCGTATTACTATGTATTACTATGATGATAGTAGCCATGATTGTCATCATTGACATCTCATCATTGACATCTCATCGCGCCTCATCGTTGCTGAGGCCACTAACAGCCTGCCCCATCTTCTTCCAAGCATCTCCTCCAGAAACGTGCCCGAAACGTCTGATTGTTTTTTTTGTGGCTCCAAAATGCACAAATTAATGTCTACTGTAATGACAATAGGGATGTTTACTAACCAATCTAACGATGATCATTTTGGATATTTAATAATTCTTAATCATATTAATATATATTAATTTAATCTTCTGTGATATTGACAATATTGATTGATGATCTTGTATGCAAGAGTTGCCTTTATGAGTACCGTCCAACTTGGGGGTGAAATGATTTTGAGGTATGGCCATGTGCAGCGAATTTACACGACTATCAAAGTGGTCTGCTAAAGTGGTCTGCTGACTCCATGGATGATGATCTGCATCCCATAGTGCCAACACAGTCAAAGGGTTCACAGTTTAGCCTTCCCAACACCCTTCAGATCGTTGAAAACATGTTGACCAAAAAGAACTCTCCTAGAGTCCTCGATCTAAATTTACGCAACTGCAAGCTCTCTACGGCCAAATGTAGCCAATGAGCACGAATGCTGCATTAAGCCCGCTTAAGGAAACAGTTTGAACTTCTGTGGGATTCACGTTGCTAACAAGCATCGAACTCCATGAACATTGTCGATGTTGCCGAAAACCAGGCGGCAGCCATCATAGTCTGAGATTAAGCGGAAGCGGTGTGCACATGACAGGAAAATGTGGGATGGCCCCATGCAGTTGGCCCTACCAGGCCCTACCAGGCAATGCGGAGGATATGGATCACCAGATGCAGCTGCTCATTTCAAGGTCCCAGCAACTTTCAAAGCCACCACCATTGCATTTGTTGGCATATGCAGCTTTCCTGCCAAATGGCTGCGTCAGTTTCGAAGAGTTTGGAGGTCCCTGAAAAAGGATGAAAAAGGAGTGTACGTGTGACATCTTCGACGCAAGTGAATGGCATATGAGGCTTGACAAATTAGCAAACCACACTCAACAAAGAACAATAGGCAGCTTGCACAGTATAAGTGCAATGACTTCCTGGTTTCAAATCTAGGCTACACGATCTGAGAAAACAAGGGATGAAGAGCTGATTTCTAAATGTTCTCAACCATTAGCTGCTAGCCTGGTCATTGCTTCGGTGAAAAAAACAAAGAAAACTCCTCAGCACCATACCCCAATCAGTGTCCTGGGGCGCAAATCCAGCACCAACAATTGCTGGTCTTTGCCGCACCTACAAATCCAGCACCAATTTGTCCCAAGCCTTAAAGAGATTTAAAGAGCACTGAAGCCTTCTCTTGAAACCATGAGTTCAGATTAGAATATCATTAACATTAATTAACAGTTAACACAGACAGCACCAATAAGCTTTGCTTGGCAGCCTGGTGTCTATTAGTAATAAGTAATATTAGTATATGTCCATCTTTGCAGGAAAATAAGCGCCTGATGGCGCTTAGCATCCTCTCATCTGACGACTCCGGCTGTCCTCCGCCACATGACACGTTGTAACTCCCAGGCCGTGACAGTTCCCAAACTGCACAGGAAGCCGTTCTTTGTCTGAAGATGGGGAAGTTGTTCAAAGGAAAATATGGCAAATCACGATAAATTGAACATCATCTTCCCCATATTGGCATGGCAAACAAATCGTGAATCCATTATGATACACTACTAAACCCCATCAAATCGGATAGTTTTTGCGGTTTAGCAATGTATAACATACCATAACATACCCATTAGTCTCCCATTTCTGGAGGACCGGTCGCCGTCCAAAGGAGGACACGCCTAGCAAACCCTCCATGGGCTGCGCGCAGCGCCACAGAGATGCGAAAGATGAACTACACCAGCTGAGGGTCGGCAATCGTCCTGGAGGCATATCCACTGGTCGCGTGTTGTTTTATAAAAAACCGTAGAAACATGTAGAAACTACATGAAAGATCATATATCCAAAGGCATATTAGTCCCTCAGGAATCCATCTTTCAATCTTTCAAAAAAAATGACACGTCGTGCATGAATATGATCCAAATGTCATTGTGTCATTGTGTCAATCTTTACCCTTGGCCCACCTCTCTTTCGAAAGGCAGCTACGCGCTGCAGTTGCTCGTCGCTGGTCTCTGCTGGCAAGACCAACACCGCTGGGTAGGTGCTGCACAGCTGATAGCTGTCTTAGTGGATCGGATGGGATCATCCCGAATCAAATGGCTATTTCACTGAGGAAAATGGGGTTTCAGCGTCAAATTTGGGAGCATACTTTCAAACGAAACCAACTGTCTTCTGAATTGGTTGCGACATTAATATCTTGACGCCACACCCTGCGGCCCAGAATCTGTTGACAGAACCTCGGATCTGAAAGGATGATCAGCGGCCGCACGACCAGGAAGGCCCGGGTCAAATTCGGCAGATCTTCTCTGATGGTCAAAGTACATCATTGATGCAATTATGTCACTGTATGTCACTATGTCAATGAATGATTCATGCCCCTTTCAATCTTAAATCATAACCGGACAACAACTGTTCAATTCTCCTCAAACCTCGCCAAATACAATCAACTATCATCAAAAATTATCAAGGATCTTCAAATATCATCAACTAGTGTCAAAGATCATCAGAAACCATCAAGTAGTGTCATCTATCATGAAATATCATGAAATATAATCAACGATAATCAAATATCATCAATACGCATCAACATCAACGATCATCAAATATCATCATTAATCATGAAATATCATCACATGTCATCAATTATAATCAACTATAAATCAGACTTCTGAAATCCTCCAGCATCCCATGTCTGATATGTTTCGATGGTTTTGCTATCGTTGTGTTTTGAATTGAAGATATAGTTTGGATAGGAAAGCGGTTATTATTTTGATACGATTTTAGACCTGGTCTTGGATATGAAAACCATACCCACCCTTGAAACCCAGAAACATAGCATGAATTCATATCACCATCACAAAATAGATATGTTGAAAATCCTGCATTCTAGAGACTTAAGACTTCTGAGCACCATAATCCATCACCAGTAAAACCGTACAAGGCGGTGGTGGAAGTTTCAAACATATGAAACCTATAGGAAAGGTTGGTTGTTGTGAATCACGGATGGCGGAGCGAATCCACTGATGGACCGAAAGGTGGTTGTGATTTTTGGAGTGGTTGCAGTGGTCACCTCACCCACAACTGTAGGATGTAGTGTGGTGTAGCGAAGTGCATTGTAGTTGTAGCGGAGTTGATGTTATAATGTTGTAGTTTTTGTGGTTGTAGTTGTGGTTGTACTGTAGTTGAAGTGTAGTCGAAGTTGTAGTTGTCGTAAGTGTAGTAATTGTAGTAGTTGCAATAACTGTAGGAGTTGCAGTTGTAGCTGTGGTTGTAGTGTCGTTGTAGTTGTAGTGTAGTTGTACTTGTAGCTGTAGTTGTAGTGTAGGGTAGTGGTAATTGCTGTTGTAGTAGTGTAGTTGAAATTGAAATTTGAAGTTGTACCTGGAGTGTAGTTTACTGGTAGTGGTAGCTGCAGTTGTAGTTGCAGTTGCAGTTGTGGTTGTAGTGTGGTTGAAGTTGTAGTTGAAGTTGTAGTTGCGGTTGTAGTTGCAGTTGCAGTTGCCGTTGTGGTGTAGTTGTAGTTGTTGTTGTAGTTGTAGTTGTAGTTGTAGTTAGAAGTGTAGTTGTAGTTGTAGCTGTAGTGTTGTGTAATGGTAGTTGTAGTTGTATTTGTAGTTGTAGCTGAAGTGTAGTTGTAGTTGTAGTTGTAGTTGCATTTGTAGTTGTAGTTGAAGTGTAGTTGCATTTGTAGTTGTAGTTGAAGTGTAGTTGTAGTGGTAATTGTAGTTGTAGTGTTGTGTAATGGTAACTGTAGTTGTATTTGTAGCTGTAGTTGAAGTTGTTATTCGAGGTTGTATTTGTAGTTCTTGTAGTTGAAATGTATTTGAAGTTGAAGGTGTAGTGGTAGGTAGTTGTAGTTGTAGTTGTATTGTGGTGTGGTGTAGTGAAGAAGTTGTCTACCCCTCTGTCTATCTGCCAGCTTGAAAACGAAGCTATTCTGCGAGACTTTCTGTTTTTTGAACTTGACAACATCCAAAGCGCAG